TGACACAGATTGTTACTAATAAAAAGTGCCATATTAAGAAAAGGAAAAGCTTGGTGGCACAAGCGGTTGTTGCTGCAATAGGGGGTTTGGCAAGCATGGTACTCGAATTGCAGCAAGCTAATTTAGCAACCACTAATAAAATGGAAGATGCTCTTGATGAAAGAGATTGTTTTAAAATAGCTGCCCTAAGAACAAACAAAATGACCGAGGGGTTGGAGAAAGAATTAAAGGAAATAGAACAACAGAGAGATGCATATAGTGCTAAGATCACTGAACTCCAAAACCTTGTCATGGAATATAAAATAAAAACTAAAGAAAACATAAATAAATGGGATAAGGAGATTCCTAAAGAATGCCCAGGCCAGTCTCATTTTATATCTAAAAGTACAGAACCAGTGCTCAGAACCAAACACAAGGAAAATGCGCCAGTTGTTAACTGTTTCCCACAAGCCCCTTTAATAATAACTGAACATTTTAATGTAAGAGAAATGCCTACTAGCTTCTCTAGACAGACAAGGACTATGTCAATCACAGACAAAGATAATTTCCAGAAATGGTGGGGAAGTATGCCAACTGACGACTTTAACACCTTTACACATTGGTTTATGAGGGGAGCAAATAGAGCAAAAAAAGGAGGTCTTAACTTAGAAGAATGGACAGAACTGTTAGAATATGCTATGGGTCCTTTGGCTAGCAGACTATTTGGATTTAATAACAGTGTGTCCGACTAGGCAGGAAGAATTGCTGCAACGATTTTCTATCTACTCAGCATAGAGAAAGAAATAGTTAATATTATGATGAGGCCAGCAGATGGTCCTAGAGAGGTAGCTCAAAGGATATTGTTCTGGTATACGCTACGCCAACCTCAACAGCCTCTGGTCTTGGGCTCACCACAACATATTACTAAAGTAATGGAAGCCCTTCCCTTGGAGTGTCAAGAATTTGTGAGGCTTTTTGATCCAACACCAGCAGACTTAGAAATGGTTCTAACTAGAGCTGACAATTGGTGGATCAAGCATCCTTCCTCGGAACAGGCCTTCTCTGTTTCAGCCATAAGAACATTCAAGGACGACTCTGGTAGAGATATAGATGGTAAATGGAGAAGCCAGAGGTGGGATGTACCCCAGAACAAGAGGGATAATGAGAACTGGAGACCAAAACAGGACTTTGACAAAAGATGGAGAGATCCACACAGGGACCATGGGAATGTAATGGGAGATAATTGGAGGAATAGATGGGAGGGGCCTAAGGTAATCAATAATAATTGGAATAATAATACCTGGGAGAGGCTAAAAAGGAGAGATAACTCGGAAAATCACAGTTGGCAAGAAAAACAGAGAAACAACAGGAACAGTTATTGGGAGAATAATTGGAAAAGGAACCATAGATGGGATGAGCATCAGACCAATAGACGGAATTGGGATAATTGGAGGAATAAAGAAGGGAATACAGACTACTGGGAAATAAAGAGACAGACTGAGAGATTGGAGGCAGACGTGAAAGTGCTTAGGGAACAGATGAGGAAGGGAAATACTGATCAATTGGGGGTCCCCAGCAATGAATAACTCCCATAATTTTTGTTGTCCTCTACATCCTATGTATGTTTGTTTTTCTTTTGTTTTGTTCTTTCTCTCAGTCTTCCAGTCTCCCATTTAGGTATTCCTTTCTAATGATGAGATCTAGTGTTCCCACAGAGCAAGGCAAAACTGTATTGGGATGATGATGATGTGTGTCAACAGAAGATCGTAGTGGATCCTTGTTACAGGATGGATAAGTATACGCTGTATCACAGTAGGGATTGGAGACAGGCAATACGGCCAGAAGATACTCCAAATAAGGGAGAGGTTTACAGTCTATATTTTAATAATCCTTCTATTCCTCCAAGGTGTCCGGAACAACGGCGACAGTGTTTTTAGGGTGTCAGGAAAAATGGGACAATTTACAGCTCTACTGGGAGGAGTCGGAACTGGATTGAGAGTATGGAATTCTGCAAATATCACATCCAGTCCTACAAACTTTGCCGCTAGTATACTTTTGTGTGGCAATGAAATAGATGAGGAAGAAACTTGAAAAGGGGGATATTTTTTTTTTGTCGTGTTTCTTTTTTGTTTCTCTCTCTCTCTCTCTCTCTCTCTCTCTCACACATTCTTCAATAACATTGCACACACACACACTCACCTAAATTCTATAAGTTCTGTTTTTTTGTGACACTCTGTATAATATGTGAATTGACAGCCATAGGAAAGTACAGGAGAACTTGTGTCGCTGAGGGAACTATTCCGGAGGGACGGTGGGTTGAATTTCTCCTGTATATCAGGTTTTTGCTCCCACTAGGTTTTCCTGTACTAGAGGGATAACTAGATAACGGAGCAACATAAAAGAAGAAAAAGTGGGGGAATGTGGGGTGATGCAACCCCTATTTGACTGTTTTCTTTCACCCTGCTTATATCACTCACTATAATTCCTGTGCTCCCCTTTCCTACTTCAGATCTCATAGTTTAGATAGAAGGGATAAATTATTATTTTTAAATGTGCTCAACATAAGAGAAGAAAAAGTGAGGGAATGTGGTGACATTCTGTCATCAAACTAATATGGTGACCAGGGGTCATGTGACCAAGCTCATGTTTGCTTTTCTTACAGTGGGATAAGCTTTACCCTTTTGAAATGTTAATTGGTAATTCAATACCTTTACAAGTCAGGAAAGAGATAACCACTTCCCCTTTCTCCATTCCTCTCTGTTCCTTCTTGGCTGTGCTGCAGAGCAGATGTGCAGACGCCATGGGCTAGCATGGTGAACCATGTTACACTCTGTTGCTTCCTTTTCTTCCTTGGTGGATGTGATGTTGAACTTGCAGCAGTGAGCCATTACTAGATGTGAAGGCCTAACCGTGGGTGAGATCAAGCGTGTGTGGAAGGGGTTACTATATAGATAGATAGATTTAAAAAGGGTTGTTGCTCCGTGGGTCTGGGCTGTGTGTTTGTGATACATTTATAGTATTGTGTTGTTGCCTTTTAATAAATACCTTTTAATGTAGACGAACCTTGTGTAATATATATATTAATTTGGTGATACACCACAGCATGTACCAGGTTTACTTGGATATATCCTGTGCGAAGTGCAACCTCTGATACCACGTTTTCTAGTCTCACTTCCTTAGTATGCATTTGATAATCCCAGAACCATCCATTTGGATGGTGGTCCTGCAGTTACTGCAAAGGAAACCTAAAACTGGGCAACCACATTTGGGTTACTTTGGGATTTCAGTGCCCCAACCACCCCCAAAGAAGTGGGGTTGTGGTCTGGGAAAATGCTGAGGTTAAATGATTATTAACCAAGTTACTAGTTGCTTGCCCCACACAGTGGTATCTATTTATTCCTATGGTACAGATAAGAATTCACAACATACCTGATGATACAAATGGTGAGACACCATATGAAATGTTACATGTTTTTCACTGACAAACATATTTCTGCACCAGGGAGAGCTTAGAACCATTGGTTCTATTAGAGAAATTTAGGGATTTTTTTTTTCCAGCCCACCTCGCCTTGCACCACCAACTTTTTCTTACTGTTGGCCAGTTCGTCCTGGAGAGGGTGACTCCGATAACTTTTACTACAGAGAACAATCAGAGCCAACAGAGAACAGTAAGTTTTGATATTTTACAACCTGCTAAATACACTGACACAGTGGATGCTGTTAAAGATGGCAAGATAAAACAAACAGAGGACGACAGAAAAGCCACCAGAATCACAGCCACGTAACAGACTGAATCATGATCTGACATCTGAACCTGCAAATGTGAAGGAGAAGGATGAACAGACAGACGTGATACATTCACAGTTAATATGGAATGTACGAAAAATGAATCAACATCATTATAAGAAAGACTCTGGAGAAAACAGACTGAACCTGAATTATCTTATACAGTAAGAAAGAAATTCAAAGATGGAAGCAAAAGGATGCTAGAAAATTGGAGTCTCCTTCTTACAGTCTGCAGCATTATCATAACATCAACCCTAGCTGTCGTTTTAAAACTGCATTGGAATTATGTTAACAAGCAGGAAGCACCTGAACTGAATTGGACTACACACTGTACAAGTTCTGTGATCGTGAGGACAACCTCCAAGAACCATCTCAAAAGGAGAGACACAGCTCACAGTGAAATGATTGCTAATGTGACCTACACTGGTATTTCACAAGGAACCTATTGAGATCATTCAAAAAAACGATTATACACGAGAAAGATGTGATTGGACTTTTACAAATCCTAATAATGGACTGAACGATGATGACAAAGCATGCTGAAATCAGAAAAAGACGGGACAGATGCTTGTGAAAGACTTTGGATGCACCTATGAAGGTGATGAAAGAAAAGACTTTGCCATATAGTTTATCATTGAGTGACTACCGCAAACAACCTTCTTATGCTGAAAAGAAGTGCTATGCTAATTCTGGACATTGCTATTATCCAGACAGAAGATGACCGGAAAAAGAAATAAAGGCTGATGACTGTCAACACCCAGCTGTTTTTCAAGATGGAACATGGTACTGACAAAACCAGATTGACTATCAAAACACCTCACAGCACAAGACACAGATTGTTAACTACAACTCAGAAAAAGTGGTTAATAGGAAGGATCAGAAGAGGAATATAGATTTCCTACTGGAGAGAAAAACCATCCTGGAACAATATTCTGCAACAATGAACTTTACAATGACATCTGGTGGCATATGAATTTGAATTTGGTAGAAACACATCAATTAACGAAAGAAACCTTGATGCAATTAATAAATAATAACAATACCGGCCTACTAAGAGCAGATGCCCTGCCAAGAGAATGGAATATAAAAGGCCAGCAAAACCTGTCAGAAACCTGACATCATGGGACACTTGTACTAAAGCACGATTTGCAGCTTTTCTTAAACTCTACATATTATGTACATACCTGCAAAGCAAGGAACTCCTGTAAACATAAACACAGAGACATTGATACAACAAAGAATCTGTAATGGTTCTGTTGCAGATGTGATCTACCGTCGTACTCCTTGCTCTTTTGGTATAACTATACCAATCAAAACGTTAAATGGCTCCATAGAATCAAACGACAAAGCATTCTTGCTATATTCTGGACTTCCAGGAATGTGGTGCATGGACAGAAAAATTATAACTACTAAAGCAATCATGCTATTTTTTTCCCTGTATCAGAAATGTGTCAGTGACAATATGTAATATAATACAGATACTATAATTAATGGTATAAGAAACACATAATGTGTTAATTATAAAGGTGGATAGACTTTGGAATATCTGAAACGCAATTGAAGATTATTGCTAAAATGCCATATGCAGCTGCAGTCTGGCCTACAAACAAATATATTAGACATATGTATAAGAGCATAACAGCTAATTACCAAGATGAATAATTGAATCATGATAGTTAAAGATCATATGATTGCAATAACAATTGCAATAATGAATAATGTTTAAACTTTAGAAGAAAATGTGAAATGTTTTTATTAAATCAGAAACTACTTGATATTCGTTTAAGTTTGCAAAGTGGTATATTTAATATAAGTGAAGTACTTCAACAGTTAAAATTGAACTGAAAGACAGGCAGAAACTTTACTTCAACTATCATAAAGTTTATTTATAATGATAAAAATATTCAGTCTGCCAGAGCCAAGGCCAGTCAATGGAAAGTAAAAGAGTATTAGGGATTAACCCATCCAGGTGATATACATGATGATTTTGGAAATTGATCATTTAGGTCACCTATTGCAAACTGGTGAAAAGATGTCAAAGATATAAATTCAACATCCATACCACTCTATGTATATATATATATTAAAATACACGTAATCAAATATTTTATCAGTTTTTCAAATACAAAGAAAATGTTATTTGGTTTGTAATGGTTAAAAGGTACATAAAACCACTTATACAAAGGTAGAGTTAAAATATAAATACATTCAATATTGTATCGGAGTGCTTTCTTAACTCACTTTTAGAAATAATAATACATTCTAATCATCTTAAGCTATATCCAACAGCCACTGAAAAATATACTTAAACAATTAAGATTCACATTGTTAAGCATCCAATCTCACGAATGTAACTTTCCACAATGGCTGTCAGATCTTGGTAAAAAAAAAAAAAATGTTTTCTAAGACAATTTTTGGGTGTTTCTGGTATTTTAAGCCACTAATAACTGTAGTTATTATATTTACTAATTATAACTTAGGGAATAAGTTGTCTTCTCCCTAACAGGACAAAGAAAGATGAATAATGTCATATTTCCAATTAGCAACTATTTTAAATATATTGAGAGATTTTGAATAAAGGAGTATTTTTAACATTTAAAGAGAATGTAATTTTACATACCATTGTGAACAAAGGTGGTAAATACTTTGCTGCTTCAAATTATCCTTATATATCTAAATCATATACAATGGTTTTTATCTTTAAAACAAAACACTAGAAAGATTTACTATGTTACTATTTCATCTATCATTATTATACAAAGTATAACAAATGTAAAGATTTTTCCACAGATTTTACCTGTTAACATTTTTAGCACAACAGCACCTGATGTCAGTGAGATGTCTATCACTGAGATGTTACAAAGATTCCAATACAGCAAAAAGAGGCGTTCTTGAGAATCCACTTCGATTGCTGTATCAACATAACATTTACTACAATGAGATCCATGTCACTTAAGACAATGTTTTGGAAATGCTGTCAATTAATTTATTCCGTAAAAGAATATCGGAGAGTATCCAATCTATACACATCATAAACGGTGTAAAAATGTTTCATGGAAAAAACAAAATAAAAAAAGACAAAGACAAATACCAACGCCATCACCACAGTGATAACAGATGATGCTGATTCAATATCTGCGACCAATTCTAGTCAAATATTTGGAAAGCTGGACTCTACAACCAATACTAAATAACTAATACCCGGGTATTCTACAAACACAACCTCCAGCAATGTATCTAAGGAATGTAAATTTCTACAGGCCTTTAAAGACTTTGGATTACAAATACAATTACTACTTTTAACTTTGGATTACAATTCGTATCCGGATCCATCCAAAAATATCTTACTCTGGAACTTGGTGTTCTTTTCAATTCTTTCCCAGACAAAAGCTTTGCTCATTTTAATCAACCACTTTTACATGTAAAGATCACACTATGGATATTTTACTGTTACAACAATGATCTAAGATGCTGGGAGCACAAAAACCTAAAGACTGTTGGAGAACTTTGGTTTACTAATTTAAGGAAGAAATGCACTACAATGCCCACAGTTTAATGGAGAGGGTGTTATGGGCAAATGCAAATATTACAAGTTTTAGAATGAAATGTTGTATTTCTTAAACTGTGTACTTTGTCTTTAAGAGATATTGCAAACTGAGAAGGTGTTAGAAATGGAACATATTGTTTTTCATAACTGTTTCTTTAAGCAATAACCTCAGTGCATAATATGTTTGCGCCATTTTGTCCCAGACTAATTACAATAACAATAATGCATAAACAAGCTTCAAGGCTATGCTACGACTCTTGCAGTACACAATATACTGTGGTAACCCCAAGTTAATGGAACTTCCCCAAATCCGGGAATCTCCCGCGACTGTACACTTACGACTTAGTATAAACAACAGATAACCTATTCAGACTTTAAGATGCCATCTTGAACTAAGTCAGGAAAATTTCCATGACGTATACACCCTTTAGTTATGGCCTTGTATGTTTGCCAAATTAAGGGAGGTCCTAAATTGAATAAAGTAAAAGAAGTGTTACTTTTTCATATTTGAACTACAGTAACCTAAAATGGAGACACCTAAGGTATAAATAGGTGTACTTTTAAATGTTAAGACACAGAGGAGAGACTTGGAGACAGACGCTGCTCCATCTTAAAATGACAGAGAGGCTGACATGATGACATGTTCAGAAGGGTATGTTAACCTATTAATGATATTTGCAAGCATGTAATTTAAATCTTATAAACTCTGCTATAATGGATTTTATATTTTTATATAATAAATATCCAAAAGACAATCTTGCTTCCAAGACATTCCTTATTTTATATTGTATTCTCAATTATTTATATATGTTAAATAGAGGATCTCTTACACTATATAAAATTATGGCTAAGATATCTGTATGGTTAGCCCTACTAAGTTCTATGCTTTAAGACATTATAGTGGTAAATAAGGGAACCACCAGCGGTTACATAGTTATGTGGTGTGTTTGTGGTGTCCGGGTGATGGGAGTCCCGTGTCCGGGGCGCGGGGGTCCCGAGGGGCTCGGCCGATGCAGAGAGAGTGGAGAAGGTTATTCTACTGGTCTTATCCTTGTGGCCAGTAGGAGTTGGGGTTAGTCGTCTGGCAGCTCCTCGACTGTTTTGTCGTGAGTTGTGGTATAGGTGTGTAGTGGGTCGTGACAGTCTGTCAGAGTCTCGTCTGCAGGCTGTGTTGGTGGAATGGTCGTTTCAATCTCAAGTCCATGTCCTGGACACACCGCCCCCCCATCCCCGATCGCCCCTGTTCCGCCAGATGGTTATGCATTTATCTCAGTAGTAGTATCTAGTATCATTGGTTAACTGTATACAACATTTCAAGGCTCGACTAAACACAGTCTTACATATTGTCTGGCTGGGTGCCCGCTCCTCAGGTAGATGCTTTATGGATTTGTGGCAGGGATGGGGCGTTGGGGTCATGCGTTCCCTATAGGGGAGTTCTGGTTAGGCCCCTTGTTCTATATATTGTGGTTCTCGGTGTAGCTAGGTGTCAGGGAGCCCCGCTTCTTTTACCAGGTAGCGGGCCGGGGAGGTGGGGGCGGAGGCCGGACCGCTCTTTGATGTTTTGTAAGCTGGAAGGAGGGGGGGGTATTCACATGAGATCCTCAGAGAGTTTGTTTGGGTCGGGAATGGGATACAGGGGGGGAGTGTATTAAGTTAAAGCTTGGTGTTTCCCCCTGGGATGGTAATCTATGTTTCAGATCGGGTAGGGTCCCCTGTATACTTTCTGTAATCTGGAGTGTCTCTATCGCTGGTTGCGTTTTCTGGTGGCGTTGTTTCTTTCGTTGTGTGTGAAGAGGAGCCTCTGTTCGGTGCGGGTGCCTGGTGCGGGAGGCCTTACGTCAAGGATGGGTTGTCGTAGCATTCACGGCAGCCGGGTTGAGAGGATCGGGTTGCTGTTGGGTGTCCGGTGCCGGGCGTGTCCATAAGGTTGGAGTTAGTCTCTGTGGTCTGTAGGTCCTCCAGGACCTCTGCACCTATATGAAGGTGCTCTATTCTGCGACTGGTGGGGGCCTTGGTCCAGACCCGTGATCCCAAGTTGTTCTGCGAAGTCCATCATTTCTGATGGGTGGTGGAGGGCAAATGTCTGGTTGTCTTTGCGTACCAGTAGTTTGAACGGGTGGCCCCATGCATATCTGATTCTTTGCTGAGTCAATGCTTGGGTGAGGGGCCGCAGTTCCCTCCGTTTGCGCAGAGCGCTCGGGGCCAGGTCCTGGAAGAATTGGACTTGGTGGCCCTCGACTTGGAGCGGCGTGTCTCGTGTTGCTCTCATGATGGCCTCTTTGACATGAAAGTAGTGCATTCTCACTATTACATCTCTGGGTAGAGTTGTGCTTAAGGCTGGGGCTCTCAGGGCTCTGTGTGCTCTGTCCATGAGTAGCTCTGCTGGTGGCGCTTCTGGTAATAGGTCGCATAAGGTTCCTCTTAGTGTGGCCGTTAAGGCTTCAATGGTGACTGACTCAGGGATCTCCCTTATTCTAATATTATTCCTCCTCGAACAATTATTCATATCCTCTTGTGCATATTCAAGGGCTCTGACTTGCTCTTTTAGCTCTAGGATAGTTTGTGCTTGCATAGTGGAGGCTGAGGTGACCTGCTCCATTCTGTCTTCTATATCTGAGGTTTTTTTATTCAGGTCAGCCATTTCTTCTTTCAGTGGAGCTAGATGTTTTGTGAATTTTGCTGTCAAGTTGCTTTTGATTTCGTGTAGGAGGCTTTGCAGGTCTCTTTTAGTGAGGGGTCCCTGGTCTTGGGAGTGGCTGTGGTCACTGAGTTCTAACTCTGATTTAGAGTCCTGTCCACCATTACCGCCATTACCACGTGTCCTTTCTTGTTCCCCGCAGCTCCGGAAGATCGGCGCGACCGCCGCGTTGGATTTAGATTTTCTTCCTCCTCCCATGGTATTCTACATGTGCAGGGCTTGTTGCTATGTATCTCCGGGTCTGTGGGTTGTGTGCGACCGCTATTATTTGCTTTTGTGTGCCTGCTTCTTGTGGAGTTCTAACACTGAGCAGCCATCTTCCGCGGAAGCCAGGCACCGCCCCTAACATTACACAATATAGCTACATGACATTAGCCATTTTGAGTACAAAACATTTCTTATGTTGTCCCTTTGCCCTGATTTTCCTATGTGTTCAGTGTCCCGCCTCAGTCCCTCTGTGGTCTTTCAAACCAATAGCCGTTTACCATTCTCTGCCCCTTCCCTTCACAGTGGTGGATGTTGATAGCAAATGTGAGCTGCTCTTTCTAGGTGTTTGCCGTCCCTTTATAGAACAAGTTCCCTGTCTCAAGTCATTGAACTTAGTTTAATTGTGGTTAGGTGTGCTGGCATAGAGGTGATCGAAGATGCGTGTGTGTGAGCATGGTTGTTTGGTGAGCTGGTGTCTAGAGTGGTGAGCTGCGTCTATCTTGGGTATATGTGCCCTGGTTAACAGTCTTTGTTTCTACATTTAGGTTTCACAAATATACGTTACAATTCTGGTGGGTATCAGGTAAGTCTCTTGGTTTTGTTCGCTTTCAACGGGGTTATGTTTCTGTTTCAAGATATCCGCATCG